CCCCCCACCTTTACATATAAAATAAGCTGAGGTCCCCTTTTAAGGTAAGATGATTTGCTAAAGTCACATAACTTAAAAAAAAACCTGATTATAAGAAAATATGACAATTAATTTTGTGTAGTGTGATGAAAATGAACAGTGTATAGGTAAAACAGAGTATGTAAAGAACTTTAATTTTATACTGCAGATATCACTCCCTATAGAACTCTAGAAAGATTTAAAAATAAACCCCATAAAATGTATTGTGAGCTACACTTTTATATGACACTAAATCTGCTTTTTTGGATGTGTTTTAATTTTTCAAGGAAAACTGTTAAAGTATGATATAGTTTTAATAACTCTATTTTGTCATTTCTTCGTTATTATACAAGAAATTTCTAAGCCAGCATATGAAAGGCTCTGCATCACTAACATCCCTGACAATGTAACACTTGCTTTTCCATTTTTCTCATGATGGTAACATTTCATTTAGCTACTGTTATTAGGGAATTGGAAGATTTATTTATTTTTTTCCCTGGTAGCCAGTTTGTCAAAGTCTTTAAGCAGGAAAATTTAAATTAAAAGTTGTTTTTAAGTGAAATATTGTAAAATGTATTAAATCTTCCCTTTCCTCAGGGCCTGGCACTCCTAATTCTCGTTGGTGACTCAGAGGGTCATTGACGCAAACTAACTTTTGTTCTGTGATCTTCTCAGAGGTTGCATTCCTTACCTTTACACCAAATCATTCAGAATCTTTTTCATTTTGCATATTTGGAGCTGCCTTTTCCTTGTGGCCTGGCACTTTTCCCAGTTGTTATCATGCCTGCTTCTAGCATTGCTTCTGATGTCTGTGTTCTGGGAGACTATATAGAAAATCTTGTTAGTAAATAGGTTCTGAGTAGGGGGATTGAGAGTCTTTCCCAATAGAGTCTGTATGTTAAGATATGCAAATTTTAACATATAGACATTGCAAGATCTCTAAAGGCCACTCAGAGGACTTATTTTAAGTATGGGTTTTCTGCTATGTTCTGAATAGCTGAACTTCCTTGAAAAGTAACTTCATTTTAAATTAGATGTTGCTTAATTTGGACTATTGACCATTTACTATAATCAGCTGCTTAAAGTCATCTTATCTCCAGAAAAACTAAAGTCTTGCAGAATTACCATTAATAGTACTTTGTTGTCATTACCAACATTTACAGTAACTTTTTTTTTTTTTT